AGAATCAGTGTGGATGGGGTTAGGAAATAGAAAAAGGAAGTCAGACACCAGTAGGAACCGAAGGGCCTGTACTGCGCTGTAATGTTCTATGTTCTATACGCCCCCAAATGGTAGCAAAACAGTGTACCTTTCTGCTTTATAAATTCTGTGTCTTATACCCTCTCACACTACGCCTGAGGAGGGAGCTGAGCTCAGAAAGTTTGTGTTTTCAAATAAACCTGTTGGAATATAACCTGGTGTCATGTGATTTTTGATCTTGTCCACCCCAGTCCAACACCGGCATCTCCACATCATGGCTACACAGTCAAACAGAGAATAAATCAGAAGATAGAGGACACAGGAAAAAGGCAATGCATTAATCGTGGATTTCTTTCATCTTGATGTAGATTGGAATTGTCAAATTGGCAGACATTATTCTATAGGTATACAAAACCCTTCAGCCCATTTGGACTACTGTGAACAGATCTGGGCACTACACCCTAGGCAGGATATATTGGTCTTGGAGGGAATACAACGTAGGTTTACATGTGGACTTCAGGGGTTAGGTTATGAGGAGGGATTATATGAATTGGGTCTGTTTTCTCTAGAATTCAGAAGGTCTGATCTGATCAGATCAAAGTCATAGAGTCACAGAATTGTACAGCATGGAAACAGACCCTTCGGTCCAACACGTCCATGCTGATCAGATATCCTAAATTAAACGAGTCCCATTTGCCAGCATTTGGCCCATATCCCTTTAAACCCTTTCCATTCATGTACCCAGCCAGATGGCTTTGAATGTTGTAAATGCACCAGCCTCCACCACTTCCTACGGCAGCACATTTCATACATGCACCACTCCCTGCATGAAAAAGTCCCCCTCAGGCTCCTTTTAAATCTTTCCCCTCTCACCGTAAATTTACGATCTCCAGGTTTGGACTCCCCTTCCCTGGGGAAAAGCTGTTGGCTATTCACCCTATCCATGCCCCTCATGATTTTATAAACCTCTATAACGTCACCCCTCGGCCTCTGATGCTCCAGGGTAAATAGGCCCAGCCTATTCAGCTACTCCTTATACTTCAAACCTTATAGCACACAAAACAAAATTTTCACCATACTTAGGTATATGTGACAACAATAAATCAAATCAAATCAAGTCAAACCCTCCAATTCCAGCAACATCCTTGTAAATCTTTTCTGCACCATTTCAAGTTTAACAATATGCCTCCTATAACAGGGAGACCGGAACTGAATGCACAACTCCAAAAGAGGCCTAACCAATGTCCAGCACAGCTGCAACATGACATTTCAACTCCTATGCTCAATGCACTGAAATCTTCAAGATATAACAGGAAAAAACAGGGTAATAAACTTTTTCCACTAGTTGGGGGTTCGGGAACTAGCGGGCATAGTCTAAAATGTTCAGGAGAGATATTAAATGCAAAGGATGGTAGATACTTGGCACTCTCTTCCACAAACTGCAGCGATGCTGGGTCAGTTGTTAATTTTAAAATCTGAGAGATGAATTTTTGTTAGTCAAAGGTATGAAGGGATATTGGCCAATGGATATGGAGTTAGACCACAGGTTAGCCATGATCTCATTGCATGGCAGAACAGGCTGGAGGGGCTGAATGGCCAACTCCTGTTCCTATGATCCTGTTGAATGGAATTAGTGTTTCAAAAGTCCCAACAATTTTCTGTGATTGATTAGGAAAATGCTCCAATTTCCTGATTTGTGGGGAATAGGACAGCCCCAGACCAGAATTCCAACAGTGCAGAAAGAGCCCATTGAATTAGTACTGAACCTCCGAAGAGCATTCTGCCCAAACTCACCCTTCACCACCCCATTCCCATAATCCTGCATGGGGTTTTTACTATGGCTAATCCTCCTAACCTGCAAATCCCTGGACAGTATGGGACAATTCTTTTGCATAGCCAATCCACTTAACCTGCACATAGAGTCATAGAGTCATGCAACATGGAAACAGACCTTTTGGTCCAACCAGTCCATGCTGAACATAATCCCAAATTAAACAAGTCCCACCTGCCTGCTCCTGGTCCATATCCCTCCAAACCTTTCCTATTCACTTACTTATCCAAATGTCTTTTAAACATTGTAATTGTACCCACATCCACCACTTCCTCAGGAAGTTCATTCCATACATGAACCACTTTCTGTGTAAAAACGTCGCCCCTCAGGTCTTTTTAAATCTCTCTCCTCTCACGTTAAAAATGTGTACCCTTGACTTGAAACTCCCATCCTAGGAAAAAGACAACTACCACTAACTCCATATGTACTCCTTATTATTTTATAAATTTCTATACGGCTGCCTCTCAACCTCCTACGTTCCAGTGAAAAAAGTCCCAGCCTATTTAGCTTTTCTTTATAACTCAAACCTTCCATACCTGGCAATATTCTGATAAATTTCTTCTGAATCCAGCTTTATAATATCTTTCCTACAACTGAGCAACCAGAACTGGACACAGTATTCCAGAAGGGGCCTCACCAATGTCCTATACAAACTCAAGATGACTTCCCAACTCTTATAGTCAAAACACTGAGCAATGAAGGCAAGCAAAAAACCAAAAGAACTGCTGATGCTACAAATCAGGAGTTGATAATGATCTGGCTAGGAGGCTGGAAGGGCTGAATAGCCTACTCCTATTTCTATGATCCTGTTGAATGAAATTAATGTTTCAAAGGTCCAAACAATTTTCTGTGATTGATAGCCAGTTCATTATCACCTCCTTTGTCTATCCAACTGCTGTTCTCTCTCTTTGGTCTTTATCTTATTGTTTACTTCCTAGCCCATTCCCCTCCCTATTTTCTGTATATAAACCAATGTTTTCTCAACTACCATCAGTTCTGAGGAAGGGTCACAGGACCAGAAACGTTAACTCTGATTTTTTCTTCACAGATGCTGGCAGATCTGCTGAGCTTTTTCAGCAAGTTCTGTTTTTGTTTCAAAGAATTATGTATCTGAACCCCATGTCCCTCTGTTGTACAACACTACCCAAGACCCTACCACTGATGGTATAAGCCCTACCCTTGTTTGTTGTACCAAAATGCAATATCTCACAGATTTCCATAAGAGTCCAAATAGTGTGGGAACAGGCCATTTGACCTAAGAAGTCCACTTTGACCCTCTGAAGAGCATCCCACCCAGACTCATCCCCCTACCCTTTCCCTGTAGCCCTACATTTCCGATGGCTAATGCACTTAATCTACACATCCCTGAACACAATGGACAGTTTAGCATGGCCAATCTACCTAATGTGCACATCTTTGGACTGTGGGAGGAAATTGGAGCACCCAGAGGAAGCCCATGCAGACACAGGGAGAACTTGCAAACTCCACACAGACAGTTGCCCAAGCTGGAATTAAACCTGGGTCCATATGCTGTGAGGCAGCAGTGCGAACTATTGTGCCACCATGCCATGAGTTTGTTGTCCATTTTGGATCCAATGACATTGACAGATGTTTCTGTTTCTATAACAGCATCCACATCTGAGCCAATGGTCACGGTCACAAGTGGATGTTTGCTGTGTCCAAAACAGACCTCAAAGGTATGTGCAGAGTCATTTGTCACTGCTTTGGTTACATTCCCTAGTACATGCTGTACTAGGCATACATGGCACTCATCTGTTGGGAAGAATATTGGCGGCTGATGTTTTAGATGAGTGACAAACGTTACGGGTTTGGTATTGTTTACTGGTATAAATACTCTATCCTGATTGACTCAGTTATTTGGCCAACTGGCTTTTACCAGATTGATGCCAACAGCATGGGACTCGATCTACTGTTCTGGGACCTACCTCTTGTGATAGGCCTTTCTTTGAGTGGAGAACTGAAGAAGAATTACAGTTGAGCATTGGGCTGGAATATTAGAACAAAGAACAAAGAAAATTACAGCACAGGAACAGGCCCTTCGGCCCTCCAACCCTGCGCCGATCCAGATCGTTTATCTAAACCTGTCGCCTATTTTCCAAGGATCTGTATCCCTCTGCTCCCTCCCATTCATGTATCTGTCTAGATACATCTTAAATGACGCTATCGTGCCCGCCTCTACCACCTCCACTGGCAACGCGTTCCAGGAACCCACCACCCTCTGCGTAAAGAACTTTCCATGCATATCTCCCTCAAACTTTTCCCCTAGGAAAAGGGCAGCACAGTGGCTCAGTGGTTAGCAGAGCTGCCTTACAGTGCTAGGGACCTGGGTTTGATGCCACCCTTGGGCCTGTGTGGAGTTTGCACATTCTCCCTGTTCTGCATGCGTTTCCTCTGGGTGCTCCGGTTTCCTCCCACAGTCCAAAGATGTGCAGGTTAGGTGGCTTGGTCATGCTAAATTGTCTGTAGTATCCAGGGATGTGTAGATTAAGTGGATTGGCCATGGGAAATACAGGGTTACAGGGACGGGGGGGTCTGGGTGGGATGCTCTTCAGAGGGTATGTGTGCACGCGATGAGCCGAATGGCCTGCTTCCACACTGTAGAGATTGTATATTCAACTGCAGAGGCAGCACATGTATTTGGTGCGGCCCCTTTAAATAGCAGCACGTGGTTATGCACAAACATGCTCTCTGGACCTTAGCAACAAGGGTCTGGGGAGGGGAACGAGGTCACAGAATGATAACTTACGATGAACACTTTCGCCCGAAACAGGGGCAGTTCTTACCGGTAATATGGATAATTATAAAGACAGATTAAAAGTGAAGATGTTGGTTGTTTTTATTTTAACCATTTGCGATTTCTCCCTCTCCGTACTATCCATCCCCCCCCCCCTCTGTAGGTGGTGAATGAGCACTTCCGGGCGGGCGGCTCAGTCTGAGCCTGAGGGGCGACGGGAGCGGAGCCGGGAACCGGGCATAGGCTGGGGGCCGGGAACCGATACCGGAGACCGGGCAGGGGGCTGTGAGCGGGAACCGGGCATAGGCTGGGGGCCGGGAGCGGATACCGGAGACCGGGCAGGGGGCGGGGACCGGGAGCCGGGCATAGGCAGGGGGCCGGGAGCGGGCCCGGGGTCAGGGGACCGGGAGCCGGGGGTAGGCAGGGAGCCGGGGACTGTGAAAACATTCATTCTCCCCTCCCGGAAAGCCGCTTAGGCCGCCGAAAAGCCTCGGGATTTCCTGAGGAGAGTGTCCGGAGCGGGAGGCCCGGGGCCGGGGAGCTGCTGCCATGTCCAGCTCCCGGGTTTGCCGCACATGCGGCTGCACGGAGATTGACATTGACCAGGCCCGGGGCGATGCGGTGTGTACAGCCTGCGGCTCCGTGCTGGAGGATAACATCATCGTGTCCGAGGTACAATTCGTGGAGAACAGCGGCGGCGGCTCCTCGGCTGTCGGGCAGTTCGTCTCCTTGGACAGTGAGTACATTAAAACCCGCCTGCAGACCCCTACACACACCATCCTGCATTAGCATTAGTCTGCACAATATACACGTTACGTTGCGATCAATCCCTTATTTTGCTGCTAGATTGTTATTGTTGTCGATGGCTAAATGCAAGCCATATCAACTTTCTGTAAGTGCAAAGGCTCCCCTAACTCCACGATGACCGCAGCATTGAAAATTTGGGTTCCTGAACCATACAAAACAGGAGTAGGCCAATTGGTCCTTTGAGCCCATTCAATATGATCATGCTTTCAATTCAGTGCCTGTTCCCTCTTTGTTCCCATATTCTTTGATCCTTCTTGGAAACATTCAACGTTTGGCCTAAACCACTTCTTGCGGCAGATAATTCCACAGGCTCACCACTCTCTGGGTGAAGGGATTTGATTTATTATTGTCACGTACCGAGATACAGTGAAAAGTATTGTTTTGCGTGCTAACCAGACAAATTATACCTTTTATACGAGTACATCAGGGTAATAGAACAGGATGCAGAATTTGTGTTACGGCTACAGAGAAACTGCAGAGAAAGATCAGCTCTAATGTATGAAAGGTCCATTCATTAGTCAGATAAGAGCGGGGAAGAAGCTGTTCTTAAATCTGTTGGTATGTGTTTTCAAACTTTGGCATCTTCTGCCTGGTGGATGAGGGTGGGAGTGGTCTTTGATTATGCTGGCAGCTTTCCCGAGGCATTAGGAGGTATAGATGGAGTCGATGGAAGGAAGGCTAGTTTGTGTGATGGGCTCGGCTGTATCCACAACTCCCTGTAATTTCTCGTGGGCTTGGGCAGAGCTGTTACCATACCACGCTGTCATGCATCCGGATAAGATACTTTCTATGGTGCATCTATAAAAATTGGTAAGTGTCATTGTGGATATGCCGAATTTTCTTAGCATCCTGAGGGAGTAGAGGCGTTGATGTGCTTTCTTGACTGTAGCATTGACGTGAATAGACCAGGATAGATTGGTGATATTTACTCCTAGGAACTTGAAGCTATTGACCACCTCCATTGGTACAGACAGGGACATGTCCTCCACTCCACTTCCTGAAGTTGATGACCAGCTCATTCATTTTTTCTGGTAGTGAGCCAGAAATTGTTGTCCATGCCCCTAAGCTGTCTATCTCCTTCTTGTACTCTGTCTCATCGTTGTTTGTGATCCGACCCACTATGGTGATGTTATCAGCAAAATTGTAAATGGAGTTAGAGCTGAATTTGGCCTCACGGTCCTGAGTGAGTAGGGAGTATAGTAAGGGGCTGAGTATGCAGCCTTGCGGAGCACTGGTGTTGAGGATTGAGGTGTTGAGGTAGAGTGGAGGAGGTGTCGTCACTGCATGGCTACCCTGTATCCTTAGTCTGTGATCTGGACTCCCCGGACATGGATCATTTTTCATGCATTTACCTTCCGGCTCAAACCCTCTTGCAATTAGGTCCAATATACCATTTGCCTTTTTAATTGCTTGCTGCATCTCATGCTTGCTTTTAGTGACTAGTGCACATCTCTGTACATCAGCATTTCCCAATCACTCACTCAAATAATACTCTGCCATTCTGCTTTTCCTATCAAAGTGGATAACTTCATATTTATCCATGTTATAGTGCTTCTGCCGCCCGTTTTTCCATTCAGTCACCTTGAAGCCTCTTTAAATCACTTGCAAAACTCTCAATCCCTAATGTGTTGTCAACAAACTTTGAAATATTACATTTGATCTGATCCTTGCAGAACCTCACTCACCACATTACAGGCTGAGAGAGACCCATTTATTCCTGATATGTTTCTTGTGTCAATCCATGCCAATCCCATATGTGTTAAAAGCTTTGTGATTTGTTCACGTATGCCAGTGTGATTTTTAGAGGTTGAATTTGAAAATAGTGGCTTTTGGTGTTGGTTACTTTAAAGTCCAGGGAATTTCTGGAATAGTGACCCAAATGCAGCATCACTCGGAAAGTAAATAGTTATAGACCTGGAGTGTGATTGTAATGTTTATGCAGGTGGGGTTTACAGCGGGCAGTATAAAAATTGAAGACCATTAATTCGTTTGTAATTCTGAATCAAGGATTGATTTTACTTTCGAAATCAGATACTGAAAGTTTTTAGGGTAGTTTGAAGGCAATCTGACTGGGATTAGAAGCAAGTTTTTAAAAACATTTTCTGTTTATGCAGGAGTATGGGAGAGTTCAGGGACAGCACGCTTCCCTCAGTGTAAAAGTTTTAATTTTGTGAAACATCCAAAGCAAGTGAGTTTGGTTTGAAATCTGCTGTTCATTAGAACTAAGAACATTTATTCTGAGTTATGGGAGAGTTCATGTCGGTAGATTTGGAAAATACTCATTGAATTGTCACCATAGTTCATGGGCAAGAAAACTGTCAAGAGTCAGTTAAGTAGAACCCGGTGGGGTTGGGGTGTAATTGTGTAATTTCTCTTAAGTTTGAATTTTTGAAAATTGATGGTGCTGGGAGAAAGGTTGAAAACTTTGTTTAATTATGTTGCAATATTTTTCTAAACTATATTTAGCTTGGTTTTAATTTTTTTTTGTGTAATAAATGTCTTGCTTTGTGTAACTGTTTTAAATGACTGATCACCTATCAAGTGAGACTTCAGTCTGGGATCTGGTTTGTCCAGCTGGGATTGTATATTACACATGGTTCTGAAAATCCAGATGCATTACATACGCTGCTTCTCCCAAAAAAGGGTAAAGTCACCATGGTCTGAAGGCCGTGGGGCTGCTCTCCCATTAGAGAGAGATGACCTGTGGTGGTTTAACGTGAGGGTCACCATGCTTCAGGTGAGGAGAGAGGTTGAGAAGGAGAGTCCTTCGTCGTAACCTCAGCCGGTGTAGGAATTGAATCCGTGCTGTTGGCGTTATTCTTCGTTATAAACCAACCATCCAGACAACTGAGAGAGCCAACCATCTCTGTTCTATTAGTTATGTCCTTAAAACAGTCGTAGGTTTGTCAAACTTGGCTTCCCCATCATAAAATCTGTTGATTTTATGTAATCCTGTTGATATTTTCTAAGTGTCCTGTGATCACAGCCTTTATAATAGACCAGCATTTTTCCTCTGTTGATGCTAACCGTATGAATTAGGAGTAGGAGTCAGCGTAGTCTTAAGCATTAGGAGCAGGATAGAAGTTAGGAAGCGTTTCTACACACTAAGGATGGTAGATGTTTGGAACTCTCTTCCCCAAACAGCTTTGGATGCTGGATCAGTTGTTAATTGAAAATCTATGACTGATTGATTAAATTTTTATTCAGCAAAGCTATTTAGAAATATGGACCAAAGGCAGGTATGAGGGGTTAGGTCACAGATCGGCCATTACCTCCTTAAATGGTGGAACAGGCTAGAGGGGTTGAATGGCCTCTTCCTGTTTCAGTGTTCCTATGTACTTGGCCTCTTGAGCCTGCTCCTCTGTTCCATAGCATAATACTGAAGTGAATATTCCACCTCGCTGCCTACCTTCAAAATCTTTCATCCCCTTGCTTATCAAGAATCTATCTACCTGTATCTTTAAAAACATCTAAAGACTGTTCTTCCTTTGTCTTTTGAGGAACAAAGGCTTTATAACCCTCTTTGAGAAAAGAATTCTCATCTCTCTCTTATATTGCCAATGCCAGATTTTTAAATTGTGACCTCTGTTCTAGATTCTCCTCTAAGAGGAAACATCCTCTGTAGCCTGCAAGATCCCTCTGGTTTTAATCAAGTTGTCTGTTACCCTTCTAAACTCCAGCAGATGCAAGTCTAGCCTGTTGAAACTTTCCTCAAAGACAATCCACCCATTCCAGGTATTTGTCTGGTAAAAGTTTACTGAAATTGCCTCTAGTGCATTTACTGCTTAAATGAGGAGACTAATACAATGAATCTTCATCACATATGCAGTATTATTGTTTGGGAGCTCAGGTTCTAAAGTTGAGGGGACGGGATTCAGATTTCAGAATCATTGAATCCTGGAGTTGCAGATTCTACCACTATTGGCATAAGTGGGTGTTTGCTCAGGTGAGTTGGTGAGTCCCTTTGGATTCTGCGCACTCTTTCTGCTGCTTGGCCTCTACCTGGTCCACTCAGTGACACTTATTGTGATTAGTGCCTTTGCAGATGCTGCTGCTTCAGTTATTGTGTTACCGGGCAAGTGACTCCCACGTTGGTGCGGAGGTTATATTTGTTTAGGGAGGTTTTCAGTTTGGCTTTTTTCTCAGCCCTCCGTGATTCGCTTACCATTGTGGAGCTCGGAGTAGAGCACTTGACTACGGAGTCTTGTATCAGGCATGTGGCCAATGAGGCCCTCCGTGGCAGACGGTTATGTGTAACCAATGCCATGATACTGGGGATAATGGCCTGGGATAGGGTACCCATGTTGGTACACTTATCCTGCCGGGGGTTTGCAGGATTTTGTGAAGACTGTGCTGATGACAACGCTCCAGGGTTTCGATGTGTCTGCTGTATGCGGTCCCTATTTCTGATGAATAGAGGAGGGTGGGGACTGCGGCTGCTCTGTGGACCATGAGATTGGGGCTGGGTTTGAAGTCTTGGACTTTGAACACTGTTCCCCAGGTGACTGAACAGTGCACTGGAGTTAATGTTGGATTTTGCTCACTGTCAGACTCCCGAGGTACAGGAAATGATCCACTTTGCCTGGGGGCTTTGCTGTCCGTAGTCCAAAAAGTGGAGATCAGATCTCTTTGAGTGCGTGTGGGCCAGGTCAAATGGATGTCTGTGAAATTAGGTAGTTTAAATTGAGAGTCATAGTCATAAAGCATGGAAACAGACCCTTCGGTCCAACTTGTCCTCACCGACCAGACATTCCAATCTGACCTAGTCCCATTTGCCAGCAATTGGCCCATATCTCTCTTAACCCTTCCTATTCATAGATCCATCCAGATGCCTTTTAAATGTTGTAATTGTACCCCCCACCACCACTTCCTCTGGCAGCTGCGTGAAAAAGTTACTCATCAGATCCTTTTTAAATCTTTCCTATCTCG